CCTATCCATTCATCTGGCATCTTGTACGAACTTCATGCGTCATGACCGGTTTTCGGTATCATCTCAGTGTTGCATTCTGTCGACCTGTTTCCCACACTTATCATAAGTCTATAGCTTCGCACGCATTTTTATTGTATACATCATCCCAGTTCACCTCTGATACTTACTGTAGAGTTTGGAAATAATTGCATGTCACTGGAAAACGTGCGCAAGGAGCAGTACTCAATCAATCGATGGGTGAGAGTCGACCATGTCTAGATGATAAGCGGTGAGCAGGCTGCTTCGATCCGCAACATAATATCGAATCATCGATGAGCAGTCAGAAGAGGATTCAGCAAGCATGTGATACGTGCTGTGCCGCACTCGCAGCTCTGCTCGCGGCTGGCGTTCCGCATGCGCGTGAGCAGAGCTCGAATGGTATCGCTATTGATTGGGATGATGTACCGAGCGTGTATCGGGCGTGCGCTGCATACACGAGCTAGGCCAGGGCAAACGCTTTTGAACAGCATCCGAAGGGAAAGGTCAGGAACAGATATAATACCAGGATGGACGTGAAGGCAAGGACTAGACTTGTACATCGAGAACGTCGGAACTTGGCGAGTGCATGGGAACAGGTGTCACCCACGCTGCAGAATAAGGTGCTGTGCAGCTGGGCAGTATGGGCATGATGAATCAGGAGTTCCCAAAGCGAAGCGTTGTTCGGGGAGGGCCAACCTCGTTTTCTGCCAACGCCTGCAGCCACGACGGCGCCTAACTACATCCAGAGAGAGAAACGCCTCCCAGTCTTTGCGGTGAACCATGAGAGATACTTGCCTGCGAAGGCTAGCCGCTGAGTCCTGGTCTTGAGAACTCTCCGGCGTGTGACAGATACCTGATTTAGAACAATAACCCAAGGAATATCCGCCAGCATCGCGGCTGCTGAGCCTGAGTTCAATGCACGGAGTCAAGTATCGGGGGAAAGATGCTGGTGTCACGCGTAGACGGCGCTGCGCATTCAATTTTCATACCGCTCCCCGGTCCGATATGGCCAGTGAGAAACAGTTTCGACGATCCTGCGCTAATTGTATACTGAAGCACACGGAGCTTGCGGAAATCAGCGTCTTTGAATGTTCAGAGATGCGACACGTGCATGGTAGGGTAGCAGAAGAAGTACCTTCACAACGATGACCAGTTCGTGTTGTTGTTGCACGATCCGAGTCCTCTCTCACGACGAAGAGCAACTTCGCATTCGGCTCTGCGATCCATGATGCGGACTCAGGACGTTCACCCTTGTCATCTCAAGGGTATGATATGATCATTACATAAATCATCCGACTCTAGAAAAGTTCCACGGCCGTCAGAAAACAGTGCGAGAATTAGTGGGCTCGCTAGTGGACTCACCGAGCAGGCGTCAACAACGTTTTTTCCCACACACTGTCGCGTCATCGATTTCATTCCTCGCTTCATCACGCCCACCGCGATAGAGTATGCATAACCGTTAGTACGGTCAAACCACAAGCATCAGGATAAAATCAGATATGAAGGAAGCACAACATCGTCAATGTGCGAGGTGGTGGGTCCTGAGAGGATGACCGAAGAGACGATGGTTTATGAGCTTCGCGATAAGATCGACGAGTACCTACGCTCCGAATGTGCTCTCAATTGGGTGTTGAATTTGACCTGCGTTTCCTACGCCCACCTGAAGAATGCCTCCTTCCAACCCACAGGGTTTACTTGATTAATATCAGCACTCGCAGTGAGACAATCGAAACTGCACATACCATTGCCCTTAGAGACTCGATAACCTCAGTACATCAGGTCTGTCAGAGCAACGACTGTCGGCGGTAGCCGACGCACAAATTGCCTTGATCACTGCTGAACAGGCCTGGTAGCATGTCAGCGCGTGGTAGGAGGTGAACACACCCGTCATTGTCAGTTGATGCTCGATCCAGTACAGCACTCGTCTTCTTTCTCATAGCCGGTGTCGGCCAGGTAGAGTGTGTTTGAGGGACTGTATGGCAGGATTCCAATGAATACATGGCGAGATGAAAGAAGGGTATCGCTAAAGGACTCGCGCTTGTGGTGGTGATTGCTGATGGTGATTGGCCTTAACTGACGCCAACCCACTAAAACCTTCTTGCTAGGAACAAGATGCAGCCGCCCAGGATGTCAGCTTAGTTAGCTAGCTGTCATCATCAAAGCCCGACGTCGCAAATATGCATGCGAAGGACAGAACCTCGAGAACCCGCGGCCGAGCACTCAGGCTCTAGGTCTAGATTGGCAGAGTACGCCAATTAAGATCTATCGCACGTCGATAGAGTGTGAAAATACTTCCTGAATAGATAGTGTACCGATCCATGTTCTTACGCCTGCCAAACGATCATCTGGGCTGGTCCAAGTCAAGACAAAGCTTTCTTCAAGAAGAAGTTATACAAGGAATGTGGACGACCATTCTTGAGGGAGATGAGGATTGATTGTATACACTCGATACACTGAGGGAAAATCTAGCCGGAGTTCATGGTCATGACGGCGGGAGGAGAAGAATGGGTGTGGCGGAGTTTCATCACTTTGATGATCCCGCCACGACCGCATCTGACCAGTTCTCGCTGTTACAATACGACTGCCACCTCAAGCTTCAAAACGCGCCCTTCTTTGAATCAGCTCAAGAGCCGTAGCTACCCATAGGTTGAGCATTGAACTATCATGCCATCTAATAGTCGCTGCTACGTTGTTGTAATACATACATACGCATGAGTATCTCAGATCTACTTAACATCCCTTCAGAACCAGTTACTGTACAATAAGTCGAGTTTGATTTGCTTCCTTCAACTTAGCCAGTATCACAGCATCCATTGCATGCGTCGCCTGAAACATAGCCAGTGACCCATTCAGGATTATCGTCGCGCCCTCCAGACCCACTGCCATCCTACTCCGGAGCATCCCAAAGAGTATCCCGTCGGTTAGATCTTCCCGGATGCAGAGTTTCAGGACAAGTCGACGAAGCTGTAGAACTCTGACGACAGACTGGGTGTTGGCCGAGCCGTCATCTCTAGAGGACCGTCCAGAATCGGTACCTCCCGGGGGCGTGAGGTAACGAACGAATTGATCACCCAACATCACCCCGGGAGTTTTGCCCCGCTGGTCAAAAGAGCTGCAAGTGGTAATTGTGGGATGCACCACAGACGATTGGATCTTCTCGTGCTCTAGATATTCTATGAGCCGAGCTTCGAGAAGATTGCCCCATGGAATATCCAATGTTAACCGTGTCAAGAAGGGTACATCCATGAGACGGAGAACGCGAGAGGAGGGTTCTGAAGGGCGGTGTGGTACATGGAGTCGCCTTGGAAAACCTCTGGCGAGAGATCTAACCTCGCTAGTCGAGGCGCGTAGATGTTGGATAAGAAAATCATATGGAGAGAAATAACTCCGAGGGTGTGTGAGCCGATCTTGAGCGTGAGGAGGAAGGGAAGTCTGGCGAGATGGGAGGTGTTCTTGGGAAAGAAGTTCTGCGTGAGATTCACGACGGATTAAAGATGAATCATTGGTCTCTAGACACCAATATTATCACATTTGAAGGTTTCCAGACTAGGAGTGCGTGAAAGGATGTAGATAACGCCGTCGAGAGGGATCGGATTCCGGGGGACCACAATCGAGAGGTTGCGCAGTGTGCGCAGTCGCGACCAGACAATATCTCGCAGAGTAACCCCAGGGGATCCATCGTCGGCCGCGGGAGCGATAGAAATGTCGTGAATGGCAAGGTACTCTAAATTGGGGTACAGATTGATGATCTGTATAGCCCATGCTAGCTGCTGGTGACCGCCGATTGCGGGTCGCTAAGACGGATCGAGAACGAAGTGAGCGCATTGGCAGTCAAGCTTGCTGGGAGGACAGCCCATGGACATGTTTGTGCAAGCTCGGAGGAAAACATCGTAGCAAGGCCTCGGGCCAATGCTGTGAGCTCGTCCTCTGTGGCCGTATACTTCGTGAAGTCGATATGGATCTTTCTGGATCGATGCAAGTTGTCTTGCAGTTGGTCCAGTTGTAAGTGATTGGGAGAGAAAGATAGAGTGATTTGGAATGATGTGGAGGTGCCGCCGCCTTGCATGAACATGGCAAATGCCCTGCGACTAGTGTAGATGAAGTCCGCGCCCACGTCCGCTCGAATCTAGAGGGCAGGAAACTTCAAGCTGGTCCTGCGCCAATGTTGACAAACTTGCGATAGGCGAAGGGCGTTGGTTGCAACGCTAGCTGAGCTCGGCAGCCCGATTCGGGTATGTTCGTCATCCTTTTGGAAAGGAAGATAATAAATCCAGATCTGTAGAAGAAGCTCTATTGGCAGCTTTGCAATGTGCACAACACTGATATCACTGAAAGTGTGCACGTAAGCAGGTGCTGGCCTCGAGAAGAGAGGAGACCCGTACCAGGTGCTACGCAGCGCGAGAGGTATACTCGAAGCTCTAGACTTCAGAATCTGTAGTGAGGGCTTCTTTGTCGAGGGTCCGAAATTTCCATATGACACTAGGCATGAAAGCAATCTGCCGAGTTGTAGTGGACAAGGGGGGAGCGGCGAAGCTTGAGGGGGAATCAGGAACCAGTGGATGCGAGGGTATTTGTTTTAAGTAGTCCAGTCTTGGAATCGGTAATGGGCTAGTTGCGGTGGTGATCAGTACCCATTCGGGCGCGGTGAGGAGCTCATTGTTGCGCATTCATTGTGTTTTGAGGCTCGTTGGCCTATCGATTGCCTAATCGGAAAGCACAGTGAGAAGGACTGATGCGGCTCAGGCGCAATAAGGGCGGGACAAGGGTATCACCCGAGATTCGGGTCTGGTATCTACTGTATTCTGAGCTTGGGGTTGGAGAGATTCCAAAGGAACATTTACAAAGAGAGTGTGCGCCTTGGAAGACCATCAAAAAGAGGATGTCCAAAACTTGGACGGGCGGGTGAGCACTGAGCATGAGCGAAGTGTTACTGAGTGGCCCCGCTTTGGCAATATTATACAGTATTTAATAATTTAACACATGCCGGAATAGCTCAGCTGGGAGAGCAGCAGACTGAAGTTAACTACGATTTCTGAAGGTCGGGCGTTCGATCCGCCCTTCTGGCATACGTTTTGTTGAACTTGTTCTCGATTTTTTACTTCAAAGTTCACGGCGAGTTGCAAACCTTGCACTTAGAAATGTTACAGACTGCGGAGGGGTGTTGCAACCCTGCTTGCGCACGCCGTTTGGTATAATGCGTATATCACGATACGCGACGTCGACTCCCCGATTGGCCATCGTCCATCGTAGCACATGTATTGTCCTCAGTTCATGCCGGTACCATCGGTCGCATAGCCAAGCGCGAGCAGGGGGAGGAGAGCCAGCAGAGCAACAGCGCCCAAGTACAGCGACAACATGATAGGAACGGAGGAGTCGCAACGAAGGAGGTCGGCGAGATGTACGCCATGTACATAGAATCAGATAGACCCGTCACCATCGACGTCACTCTCAGTCTTCATATACGTACGTCGTGCAGCCCCAGGCCAACGAGCTCGACTCACAACATCCAAGCGATGCTCGTCGACGCCACCGCCATCGATATCAAATTTAAGTTCATGTCCTCCAAGCATTCTCAAAGTTCGCGCCTGAATATCTAGCGATCATCAAGCAGCGTCATGAAAAACCACATGAATCTATCGTATATGTCAAAACTACATAATACGCACAGATCATCGATGAGCAAAGCTACGAGAACAGCCCAGCTCATCTCCTCGTACTAGGTGAAAGTCAGAAATCGTTACAGTATCCTAAGTATAGTATGAGTCGTGTCCTCAAGCCCGAAGAAGAATGGACCAGTCTGTCTAGTAGACGTAGACGAAGCTAGAGAAGAAAGAACTGGTCAGGAACGGCGTTGCGGAACAGCGGAAGGAAGAAAATAGCGTACTTGGGATTCTCCCAGTCCGTGATGTCGGCGAGCTATAGAGAAATGAAGAGGTGAGCACTAGTACTGATGAGAAGAACGGATCGTGAATGGCTTACAGCAGTGACGTTTGCATCGGCAACACCCTCCGCCTTCCTCTGAGCGCGCTCAGCCTCCTTGCGCTTGTTGGCACGGATGAAGAGGAATCGGAAAGCGAGGAAGGTGAAGAACTCGAGGATGTTGCAGACGAGGATAGCTCCGATACCAAGCGGGTAGTTCGGTGCCTGTTCTGACCTGAAGAAGAAGGGTCCACTGGGAGGAAATGACATCGTCAGTTGCATGATTTCGAAGAGATAGCGGAGGACGGGGACGTACGCGATGTTACCGACACAGACGCCGACGAAGATAATGGCAGAAGTGAGCTGCTTCTTGGTCTGACCACCGACGTTCGAGGTGATGAGCGATAGGCCGATGACGAATGACGCTTGGTAGGAGCCAGTAAGGTAGTAACACTGCACCATGTCGATGAGCAACGATGCAACATGAACATTAGCACACTGGTTGACTCACGATAAGACGTCCGACATTCGCCTCATTGGGGGCGAGCAAGAAACCGAGGGCACCAGCGATGGTGGGAATCATGAACAACATACATACCCATGTCCTGCTGTTGTTGGGCAAGCGGGTGTTGAGGTAAGCACCAGCGCCGATCCAGATGACGACCAAGGCACCCTGTGGAATACCGAGCAAGGAGGTCTCGAGGATATCGAAGCCCAGACCTTGGATGATGAGGGTGGAGAAGTTGGAGATACCACCGTTGGGGATGTTGCCGACGAGACCGAGGAAGAAAAAGAGGTAGGATTTGGGGTCCATGAAGAATTCCTGAGGGAGGCTTTTATTAGCCTGGAGCGGATGGGCGAGAGATGGAATGACATACCCTGAGCTGGTCCATCTTGATCCCAGCTTTGGTCTCGATACCAGTCTGGTTCTTCCTTAGACGAGCGACCATGAACATACGCTCGTCACGGGAGATGAAGCGGCAGCCAGCGATGGTGTTGGGCAGGTAGAAGATGATGAAGATTCCCCAAGCCGTGCAGAACGCGCCGACGATGATGACTAGAAAGGGAGCACTCAGCAAAGATGGATAGTCAATAACCAGAGGGACGACGTACACTCGTATCTCCAGCTGGCAAGACTGCCTTTGATGTTACCGATACCATACTGCAGAGACGATCAGACGATTTTGCGGAGCGATCAAGGGAAAGGGAACGTACGCCAATGAGACCTCCGCCGGCCACACCGATACCGTTGGCAGCGTACCAAATACTGATACGCGTTGGCTGCTCGCCACGGGTGTACCACATAGCGGTGACCAACATGAAAGCAGGATCGGCGATGGCCTCAGCAGCACCACTGAGAACACGGAGAACCACCATGTGCGTGAAGTTCTGGGACAAACTGGATGCAACGCCTTTAGCGAAGAGGTCAACAAGAGGAAAGAAAAGGACAGACGTACGCTTGAAGCATCAGGAAGATACCCCAGAAGCAGATGTTAATACCGAGATAGGTGGATGGTGGAGAGCGCTGCATGATCAGGTTCGTTGGGATAGCCCCTGGAAAGAACCCGGCGTCAACAAAAGCCATATGCAGTAAGGGACAAGAAAGGGTACGAACATGCCATCCAACCGAAGTAGAAAACACTGGAGAGCCATGCATACTCCTGGCCTTGCAAATTCAAGTCCTCCCTGATACCGAAGATAGCCGCGTAACTGAGGGTGGTTTTGTCGACCTGATAGCAAGGTAAGCGATCAACATCCCATCTCCAAGAACATGGCATCGAACGAGAATGACTCACGTAGTAAAAAAAGTAGCAGACAGCGAGAATCGGGAGGATGATCCAGTCCATCTTCCTCTTCAACCGAGCTTCCCTAAGAGGGTCGATCGCGTGTTCACCATAGCGGTCGAGCGCCTCCTGGTAGAACGCCGTGTACTCGCCTCGCTTCAGGATGGTTTGCCAGAAGCCAGGCTCGACGGCGTTCTCGTCGGTGAGACGATACTGTTCGAGTTGCTCTTTCGTAGCATATTCGGGAGAGTGCTCGAGCCTCTGGTCGTGCTCAGGCCCAATCTTCTCGTCTGCGGTGGTCGACATGGTGGATGGGGTAACGCAGGCAGCAGCTAGGTGCCTGAGAGAAACGTGGATGCGGTGGGGTAGGAGAAAATGCCGGGGAGCTGGGGAGGAGGTGGGGTAGCTGGGGAATTCATCATTGTTGAGTTGGGTCAAATTATGTACCCGCAGGGGTTGCGAGTTTCCAAGCAAAATAGCCCCTGGGTGCTTGCAATTGTGGCGGTCCGGGGAAGTGAATGACAAGGGCGGGGATGCGCTGATGGTTCGTTTGAGCTTTGCTCGACCGGTGGAGCGTGGAAGCAGGAAGCCGCAAAAAGCTTCCGTCGTGTAGTCAGAAAGCACCACTGCCAAGCAGCGGGTGTTACACATTTCTATGTCCTTTGCGCATCGTTCTGAGCCTTCCTAGGCACTCGAAGCCTCGTAAAACTGCTTCACAGAACGTTTGAGTAGCTGAGCAATGGTGGTCATCCAAAAATAGTCCATACCAAGGTGATCGGTAATAGGTCCCTCTCCAAGGGATCTTAGTGGGCGGCTCGACGCAGTGCAGCTTCATTTGCTTGGCTACACAAGACTTTCATGTGGTAGTCGAAGGGACCGAAAGTCGGCTGTTAGCAACCGCGGTCACCGATCCCAAAGTCAGCGGAAGCTTTTGTCCTCGATCATCCCTGTTCCTGAGAAATACGCTTCAGACGGGTCGAAAGGAGTGACAAAGGTGAGCCAGATCACGTACAACGAATGAGAAGGTGGTATAGCATGACGAAGGAGCACCATTGCCCAAGCCGAGCTTCGTATCACTCAAGCGCTCTGCCAAATTTGTCGTCGATGCAAAGAAGAGCGTGGTGCGGACCGGACGCTCCGGCGTAGGAGGGCATTGGAGTTCGGGCCGCGTTTCCCTGCTCACTCCGCCATCTCGGCGCTAAAAATAGGGTGCTGGCTATAGTCGTATTTGCAGTATGTGTGACACGGTATTGAGTTTTGAGTCCGGGATTTCGGGCGAGAGGCGGTGTTTTTATGATGATTGTGTCCTTCGGCGACCATCGATAGCAAATTCAGCTGCCCGCAAAATCCGGCTCGAAACTACGACTCGCTCCAGGCGTGGCGTTCTTCGAGTTCTTATCTTCAAAGTTCGCGGCCGCGGCGTTGAAGCAGACCGTTGTGAACGTTGCGAGAAAGTCGCTCATAAATGGCCCAAACGGAGTTCAAGGCTACCCCAGGACAGCTACCGCGTCAGACGCTTGCAAGACGAAGAAAGAGGTCGATAAAGTATATTCGATCGCTGATCGCTCTGGAAAAATTCCCACTCGGTATCTCGACGTTTAGGGTTCCATTCACGTTGGATGAGTTGGCGATGTTGCAATACGCGGTCCGTAGCACGCCGGTCAGGAAAGACCTGCGGCGGCTAAGTACAGCTTTCTGCTGAAAGCAGCGGCAACGCATCTACTTCGTGTTGGCTTTGTGCTGTTTGGTCCACACGTGTACACTCATCGTGAATCCGTCGTCAATATCCATTCTTCTTGGCGGAGTGTTCCTGGATACCTCCGAAGTCCGTCAAATTATCATAACGAGAGTACAGGCCGGCTGCGCCGCAAGTGGCGGGCTCTAGTCTCTGTCCCGGTCTGAGCTACGGGATGTCGATATGGAAACCCTCTTGGATAAGCAAAAAAAAATAACGTTGAAGTGCTCTCACTTCTGCCCACCTTCCAGCCTGTGAATTCTGTCCACAAAGCAGAAGGTGTCGCTTCCAATTCGCGGCGAAGTCGTATAGAAGCGTTGTGGAAACTTCTCATTGCCATAAATTGCTATGCTCAGGAATATTGGGGATGAATCCGCCTAGATCTCTCGCAAACCGTTGTTGGGGTCGCAGCTCTCTACAGCTTTTAACAGCGGACCGCCGAACCTATGACTGAGCGGACCGTTGAATAGAGCTCTTACTACCTAGGAGCTTGGCAGCTGTTTTGCGTTCCGGATATTGATCTTGGACGACGCAACATCGCGTCGTCGAGTTTCATTTCCACGTCTATCTGGGGAAAATGGAATTGACCCCAGTGAACAGAGTCTAGACGCAGTATCAGCTCGATTTG